CCCCCGAGTGCTCCCCTCTCCTAAGCTAGCGTTATGCAATGGCATGGGCGATGCCATCGCAGCCATTTTAAGCTCGCTTATTACCACGATCGTTGCCGGTCGCGTGGCTCCTTGCGGTTTGAGGGCCAGGATTAATCGTGCTTACAGTGGATGGCAATTTGTCTACCCCGTTTTTTTTGCGGGCGGCATTATCTGTGCTGATCATCGTGTCCAAGCCCTGGGAAGGCCGCCCGAGAGCCCGCTTTTCCAGGTAAAGCAAGGCCGACTGCGCCGGGCGCCGGGTAACTGTACCGATGCCATATTGGGGCTCGGTCCGGCCAGGGGATCAGCAGACCAGCCCGGTGTTGAGGCACGGGCCGCGGTCGGCCCGGTCCGGCCAGGGGATCGGCAAAGCAGCCCGGTGTTGAGGAGGCACGGGCCGCGGTTGGCCCGGTCCGGCCAGGGGATCGGCAGAGCAGCCCGGTGAGGTACGGCTCGATGCCGCCGCGGCCCCCCCCCCCCCCCCCCCGGTCACGCGGCCACAGCGCCGCACCCGGACGCCGCGGCGTGCACACGCCAAATTAAGGTGAGATAGGGCGTCTGGCACGCGAGCGGGCGGCCGAAGCGCGGCTGACCCCTACAAACAGGCTGCGGTTCATAGTCAGCCGGCGACCCGGGCGGTGACCTGCGGCCTTGAAAAGGTCGTGAATTAGAGATCACATCAGATATATAGATCGCGCCGATGCCGCCGCGGAGCGGGCGGGCCGCTGAAATAGACATGGAAGACTGGAGCTGGACTGTTGCCGGCCAGGCATGCGGTTCGGTCCGGCGGGAATCGGAATCGATTCCAGGGCCGTGCTCACTTGGAACCCGGACTAAAGTAAAGTGACAGCGCAGATGAACCAGACTCAGACCCGGATTCACACTGGACTCGGAGTCTCGACTCGAGACTCGAGTCCCGTGTAAGTCCATAAGGCCCAACATCAAGCCCAAATGAGTGACAGCCAGACTCGGACTCAAGTCCACATGAGTGACAGCCAGACTCGGATTCAAGTCCACATGAGTGACAGCCAGACTCGGGCTCAAAACACTCTGGATGCAAGTGCAATCGAGCCAGACTCAAACCAGACAAAAAGGACCCAAGACCTATCGCAGGATACCAGTGCAACCCAGTATACTGGGTAGCGTTCATGTAGTGTTCGGTATATTGGGTAGGCCCCAGGTCGTGTTCGGTATATTGGGTAGGCCCCAGGTCGTGTTCGGTATATTGGGTAGGCCCCAGGTCGTGTTCGGTATATTGGGTAGGCCCCAGGTCGTGTTCGGTATATTGGGTAGGCCCCAGGTCGTGTTCGGTATATTGGGTAGGCCCCAGGTCGTGTTCGGTATATTGGGTAGGCCCCAGGTCGTGTTCGGTATATTGGGTGGGGCTCAGGTCGTGTTCGGTATATTGGGTAGGGCTCAGGTCGTGTTCGGTATATTGGGTAGGCCCCAGGTCGTGTTCGGTATATTGGGTGGGGCTCAGGTCGTGTTCGGTATATTGGGTAGGCCCCAGGTCGTGTTCGGTATATTGGGTAGGCCCCAGGTCGTGTTCGGTATATTGGGTGGGGCTCAGGTCGTGTTCGGTATATTGGGTGGGGCTCAGGTCGTGTTCGGTATATTGGGTAGGCCCCAGGTCGTGTTCGGTATATTGGGTGGGGCTCAGGTCGTGTTCGGTATATTGGGTGGGGCTCAGGTCGTGTTCGGTATATTGGGTGGGGCTCAGGTCGTGTTCGGTATATTGGGTGGGGCTCAGGTCGTGTTCGGTATATTGGGTGGGGCTCAGGTCGGGGCCGGTGTACTGGGTGGTACAAGGACAGGGGAACACTGGGTAGTGCTCAGTCCCGCACCGGATGCTTCGCCCCGGAGTCATCTACTAAACCTTACTAAACCGACGCCCACATGAACCAAAAGTTGATCAACTTTGATTTGCATGCAACTGCTAGCAGACTTGTGCTTAAATCAAGCAAAATCGAATCAGATTCGAGAATCGCCTTCGTTTGACCTCGATTGGACGGTTTGATGGCTACCTGAAACACTACATGACAAGGAAAACGTTAAACTGCTCACCCTTAGACCTCCGTTTGAACATCGATTGCCCCTATGGAAGAGAACATGATCCCCCGCTCTTATGCAGTGTCCAGCCATTTGTATAATCTATCCAACGGTTTGGCACGGATGGCTTGGAGCTGTGTCCAATTATGTTAAGGTGAATTTTGGACCCATTTGCTCTGCATGGTAAACACGTATGCCTCATTGGTCCCATGAGCCCGTCCCAAGTCAGTCAGTCGCCTATTTCAACTACGCCAGATAAAAAAACGAATTATTTATAGGTAATGCCTCCTTTCGTCACCGACATTGGTCTTAAATCACAATATAATTGCGCCGAAGTCTGTGCAGCTCCAATGCCGGGGCTGATCCACTGAGCACACTCCCAAACCGTACCGCGTCGGCGCAAAGATCGATCATGGGGCAGTTTGGCTTCGGCCACAATTGCGGAACAGGGACCGGGCAGCCAGACAAGACTCATAAATATTGGCAGAGATGCGTTTGGAGCTAGCACCAATGACACGGTACCATTGCTGAAATGAACATTATATACTGCTTTGCTACTGTTTAGTGACACTCCATTGCTGATAATATCATGAACATAGCTTTCCGTTCAACGTTGTTGGATTTAAGAGTACCGCAGTGAAAAAACGACGCAACCGACCCTCGAACATGCAATCAAACGGGTTTCTCACATTTGGACCACTTTCTCCTCAAAGTTGGGGGGGAGGGGGGGGGGCTGGAGCTCAATTTGAAGACCTTTTTTCCCCTCCTGTGAATACGAAACTCCACCCCTGTTCCGAGAGCTCCAACGATTGTGAGCGCGGCCTTGTTCCTACGGGTCGTGCGCCCTCCACGCACCGAACGCGTGATGAACTTCGCCGCCTATGGTACGTATGGTTATGGGGAACGACTGTGAAGTTATTCAGCTTCACAGTCTTAACTTTTTAACTGGGTCATATTTGCTTTATTTTTTTTACGCAAAATTTTCAAAAACTCGACGGTTTTGCAATGTGCTGTCTGCGCATGCGTCGCCCCAGTCAGCCGACACGCGACACAAATACAGCTAACACATTCGGCCCACAGCCATGGCTCTAACAAACTGCACGTCAATAATTGTTCACAGGGGTGGAGAGGCGTTTATTCTAATCCATGACAGTGGTCCAAGAGAGCGTCATAGTACCTTAACTTGATCCCTTTTGATACTTTGAGGCGCAGCCCTTTGGAACAGCGCTAGAAGTCGCTGCTCCTCCGGCGGGTTCATACAAGCCACGTGCGATCGCCAGACCAGTCGCCGTGCCGCCCGGCAGGCTGCGCAACAAGCCCTGCCGACTTCTCCTTTCGCGATGCTGCTCCCATCCACCCGGTAACGAGATTACCCAGCACACCCGACGGCCGAGGAAGCCACGTCAGGGCCGGGCCAGCGCCACGGCCCTCCCGCGCGCTGTCCCGAGGTCAGCTGTCGCCGCAAGACGTCCGCCTGCGCCGCAGGCCATCGGCGGCCGTCCACGCCGCACCACCTCCACGCCAGACGCTGCCAGTCAGACACGTGACAACGAGCCGGTGATGTATTTGCCAGGAGCGGCGGCCGCCGGCGCAGAGACGTTCGGAGGCGGGGCGCGGCCGACGGCCGGCGCCAGGCGGTCGGCCGCGCCCAGCAACACTGCCAGCCCGTGATCACTGTACAAACACCAAACAAGACATGACAACAGCCGAGCCGGACCGCACTCGACGCCGCCCAGGTCGGCCGTGACGGCGGAGGCGGGCATCCTCCGGCCGGACGCCAGATCGCGCGCCACATGTGCAGAGGAGAGCGCGCGATCAACTGCAGGGCCCACCTACGCAAGTTCACGCTTTAACCGCCCGTCGAGCGTACGCCGCTACACCGAGCTCGCACCATGTAGCTCCGACACTGATTAACACAGAAACGACGATAGATAAGTGGTTGGGCTTTCCTGTTCATGCCCACTGTATTTCGATAGGAACGGTGACCGGTCGCTGGCTCGGCCGGTCCGCGGGGTGGCGACTGTGACCTGACCGAGTGCCCCTCCCCTCCTCCCGGCGGCAGCCGACCCCACCTGCCCCACGACCGGACCCTCGCCCGGCCCCATCCCACTCCTAAATATCCACCCAAGTATGCACAAAAACGAATATTATATCGTTAGGACTACACAGCAACCGACTATTCAGGCTCGATGCACGTTCGGTTCGAAAACGTTGCGGTGGCAAATGGACACCAGCTATCCGGTGTCGTCATCACCGCCCCACTAGCGGGCTATTTACAGGGCGTGGCTACCCAAACGTGTGGGCATGCATGGCAGCAGCGCTCCGTGTCAGGAGGTGCGGGCAGTCGCATCACGCGCCGACCAGCGCCACCAAACGCACCGCTCCGGTCACAACCCTTCAGCTGGACAGCGAAGTGTACGCCTGGTACAGCGCACGTTTAATCTACCAGAACTATAGAACACGGACTCCGAGAAAGGAAGGGGTGGGCCCCGCCGATATGGACAGATGTGCAGTAGGAACCGTTACGATAAATAACGCGCGCGCCTGCTGACGCCTCTGCGTCGCTGCCGGTTTGTTTCCAATGTGCTAGCTCCCGCCGGGCCGAACGAGGACGCAGGGCCCATCTCAGGTAGCGGGTTCCGCCACGGCCTGTGGCGGCCCGGACCTGCCGCGGCGCAGCGCCGCACCTGGGTCGGCGCCGCCGCTCGCCCATCACATGCAACAACACGCATCCAGAGAATGTAACAGGCAATACAAAAATATTCGCCGACCCTCGCCGGCTCGTCCAGCGCCATCCTCGTAGCTTGAGTCGGCGACGGCAGCAGCAGCGGCAGCAACAGCAGCAGCAGCGGCAGCGGCAGCGGCGGAGGTGCTACTGGGCGGCCTACGCGCGCGGCCGCGGCCCGTCCTCAAACTGGTCAGGCGCGTCGCCGCCGGCGCCGTCCATAGTCACCTGGCCCACCTCGCTGCCGGTCGGCACAGGACTCCGAGTCAGCGGGAGGCGAGGCGAGCGGGCCGCGCCGAACAGACCGCCTCAACAGCGACACGACAAACACACAGCCTGCCGGCGCTGGCCGCCCCGGGACTGTTCACCCTCCGTCCTCGGGGGGGGGGGGGGGGGGGGGCGTCGAGCCACCGCACGCTCTTGCCCGCTGAAAACAAGACGAATTACGATTCCCTGGTGTGCGGTGTGACCGCGAGAGAGACAACGCCGGACCGCCGAAGCGGTGGTGGGGGTCGGCCGAGCAGCGGCACCGCTCGCGCACCACCCACGGCCGGGAGGGACGGCGTGGCTCGGCCAGTCCGGCAGCGGCGCGCGCACACTGACGACTCGGCCCGGGCGCGGCTTACCGGACAGGCACCTAACCGACGAACGAAGGCGCACTGGCGGGGAGCGCACGCATGCCAGCTGTCTACTTTTCGCCCGATAAGGGAGCTCGTGAATAACACGAGGACTGTGTCCGAATGTTGACTTTTGTTCTTGTTGTTGCTGTTGTGTTTCTTCTTCGTTGGTCTTCTGCCACGACCCATCACTGACCGAAGGCTCCCTAATCGTATACAGGGCTTATAAAAACCAGCCCCCGATACCATCGCAGGGCTCGTCAGCTAGGCCAGGGACAGGCCACCAGCCCGTGGAAGGGCCGGAACGGCCGGTGCCGGCAGACGCGGCCTGGCTCGGCCTGACTCGCTGCCGCCGCCGGCGGGGGACAAGGACTCACGCGCTGGCCGAGGTGTCCACGGTCATGGCCCGGCCGGTCGGCAGCAGGCCGCCGTCTGCGTCTCGGCCGCCCAGCTTCCGCTTCCCCTGCGGCGACAGAACAGAGGTCAGCCAGCGGCGTCGGTGATGAGGCGCCTCCGGTCAGCCGCGTCCGGCTGGCGGCCGGCGCCCCGACACCGGGCGGACGGACGCCAGTGGCGGCACACCACGTCTGGACCCTGCCGCCATCCCAGCGCTGGCGCCCAGCACCGCTGACCACGTCCGTCCCCATCCCTGCCGTCCCCCAACGCTCGCGTGACCGGCCTGTCGGCAGACGACACGGAAGCGAGCCAGCTGGCCGCCCCGCCGGCGGCCGGGCAGACACCGGGCCGCCGTGGAGCGCGGGGCGCGCACGACACGATGTGGGAGCGGCGTCACTGAACGGTGAGCACGCAAGGCGGGCGGTTGGAGCCAGCGCCGGCGGACCTGTGGAGCCCCTCGCCACACTGCGGCCGATTGTCGCGCGACGCCGGTGCTCACCTGCTGCTTGCGACTGCCGGCCTTGCCGACTGGCGGGTAGCGGCCGCCGGGCACCACTGTGTGGGGAGCGCGGCCCAGCGGCCGCCGCTGGAAGCCGGCCGGCATGAGCGCGCCGCCGCGGCCCACGCTGCCCGCCCAGGAGCCGACGACGACGCCGCCGATCTCGAGCCGGCCGCCGCGCCGGTCCAGCGGCGGCTCGACGGCTGCGGCCGGGCCCGGCCCCACCGGCAGCGGCGGACGGCCGTACTGCACGTGCAGCCCGTCCAGCACCGCCTGGCGCGTCAGCTCCAGCTGCGCCACCATTTCCATCTGGCCGTCGCACAGCTGCGTGACGTTGCGGCACTGGCTGGCCTTCAGCAGGTAGCTGCCGGCACAGACCGGCGGTCAGGACAAATCCCCACACAGACCGGCGGTCTGGACACATCCTCACACGGGCCGGCGGTCAGGACACATCCCCACACAAACCGGTGGTCTGGACACATCCCCATACCGACCGGCGGTTAGGACACATCCCCATAGTTTTTTTTTTTAAATCAGTGCGACGTACGTCGTGAAGCACCCTTTAATGGATCGCCGGCAAGTGCAGAGGCCATATTAGCGCTCACAGACCAACTGGGGTTCGAACCCAAACACGAGAAGTGAGTGAGACTGAAGAAGACTGAAGACGTCGGCATTACTTTGAAATAAACATGTGCGCACAAGAGGCCGTACAGCGACGTGCAACATCAGCACCTTCTTCTCCCATACGGGCAGCCCTTGGTACGACGCGCGCACCCGCCTACGCACATATCTCACACACGTGCGTCGCAGCCGGCCAGTTCCGGAAACCCACCACCCTTCCACAGGCGTTATTGCGTTATCTGCGATATTGCTTGTTCTTGCCATGTGTCGCCACCGATGGCGCTTCCAGCGGCCCCTGGGGCCGGTTACGGTCAAAGGCAGGCCCGCGGCGTCTGGCGAGCGGTGGATTTTGCTGCTGGCTGATGCATCGGACGGAAAACTACCGCCAGCGTCGGCGGCGGGACCCGGTCGTCGGAGGGGCAGCCGACGGGCGGCCAGCTGGCGAGAGGCGGGACCGTACCGCCGGGCAGCGCGCCAGCTCACGGGAAGGCCGACAGCGCAGAGACGGTCCGAGCATGGGCACGTTGTGAGGTCCATCGGAGGACACCGCCAGCTCGATCCCGGGACGGTGCCGCCGTACCGTCGAGCGGAGTGCGCCGACACCGCAGCGTTGCGGGGCCGCGCGCGGCGTTGCAGGCCGATCAGAGGACGGCTCCGCTGCAAGGTCACCGGTCGGGGGCGACGTGCCGAGCCGGCCGGCCGGTGCGCGGCCGCCGCTCGATCGAACGCATCGATCCCATGCGACGGAGGCGCAGCGCCGTCGGTCGGTCGGCAGCCCGCGGCGGGCCGACCGCTGCCCGGCCGGGAGCATACCGGCGCCGCGTCACGGCCGCGTCACAGCCGCCTATTTACGGCCGCAGTTCCGGACCGTCGCCGACGCCAGACGGCAGCCCATAACAGACCGGACTGTGACGGTCAGGCTGCACGTAATCCAGCTGCAGCCAGTCGGCCGGCCGTGCACGCCGCCGCGTCCGCTTGGACGCCGGCCGAACTAGGTCAGTCGTGTCGGCGGCCAGGTCTTCGCAGCAACGCAAGACGAAAACAAGGAAACTGCCAGGCTTGAGGGCGCTCAGGGTGAGAACCACAATTGGTCAAAACACGGCCAGATTATTGACATGGAAGAAATACACGCCTAGAGGGAGTGTTTCACATTTGTATGGAGTTTTGAACTGAAATGACAAAATCGACGACGACGACCACGACGAAATAAATGCCAAGGAAACTATAATTGTCAAATTGTTCATTTCGGGTGTTCGTGAGAACGATTTCCAGATTTCACGATATTACGGCCGTCCATTGGCTCTCAGTCAGTGTTGTGTAAGGTACTATGACGTAATCAAACAATGACGTCTTGGGGAGCATATTGACTAAGCAGGGAAATTGTGCCGTCTGGAGCAATGTTTTCTACCACGTATGCCAACAGTGATAAGTGAGCTTATTGCATAATATCTCACGCTTGCCTCAATATCTTCAACTGCGAAATATTAGCACTTAGTTCTCAGACATGGGGGTGCACACCACAATGGCGCAACAGTATTTGTCCGCTGCGACACAACTTCCCAGAAGCCTTGCAGCATCGCAGAACCGCCTGATCACGTGGATGGATAAAAAAGGGCTCGCGGTCGGCAGAATATCCAGCTAAAACTGGATTTCCTGAGATTTTAGACGCGTGCTGCCGCATCTTCGTCACAACGTACGACGCTTTTCGGACTGCACCACCAGCCAATCGGAGCTCAGCCCGGTCCCGTGGCGAACAGCTGCCTGTTTCCGAACTGGTCACAGCGTGGGTGCAGGGAAGACAGAATTGTATGCTCCTTCCGAGGTTTAATACTTTGGAAATCTTTGTAGCCTAGTTTGCTGTAGACCATATGAAATGTTGTGCAATGCAGAATTTAACCGAATTTTCTAAGGTAAATGTTCGCTGTTTCTGTTTTTACGTGACAGCACCGCGAAACCTCGGTTTCACAATGACCACCCCGGCCTTCACGGGCTCCATGATCGTATACAACTCCCCCCCCCCCCCCTCTCTCTCTCTCTTTCTCTTTCTCTTTCTCTTTCTCTTTCTCTTTCTCTTTCTCTTTCTCTTTCTCTTTCTCTTTCTCTTTCTCTTTCTCTTTCTCTTTCTCTTTCTCTTTCTCTTTCTCCCTCCCTCCCTCCCTCCCTCCCTCCCTCCCTCCCTCCCTCCCTCCCTCCCTCCCTCCCTCCCTCCCTCCCTCCCTCCCTCCCTCCCTCCCTCCCTCCCTCCAGCGGCGAGACGTGTTGATAAAACTGGAGACGAAATGACGATGAACAGGCCCGCTAGAGCACCAGATTACGTCAGCGTCGCCACTACAGCGGCCAGCCCCACCTGTGGAACAGTTTGCCGTCGAAGAAGAGCCACGGGCAGCACATGAGCCAAGGGATGGGCGCACCGCATGCGTCGTTGGCGAACAGCGCCGCCTCCACGCCCTGCATGAACAGGTTGGCCAGCTGCACCCCACGCGGCGTCACGGCCGGGAGCTGTCGGCACGCCGAGGCCGGCGCAGGCCAGGTCAAGTCGGCTCAGGTCCAAATACACAGTCACGAACATTGCACAGCTGGCAGCCCTGTCATAAATACCGATTCATCTTTTGGCACTACATTGCTGGCGTCACACGCTCATACAACGCCCATCCGAAATCACTGCCCATCCTCCCCCCGTCCCCAAGACGCATTTAATCGTACGGACACAAATGCAGGCAATGTGCACATCCACTGGAGCTGTCCACATGCGGGTATAATCGGTGGGCCGGACCGACCGAATCGGTAGACAGCCACTTGAAGCCCACCGTCCTGCCCTCACGGCGCAGGGTGACGGCGCCACCGACGGCGCCACCAGCACTCTCACGTTCAGCTCTCGCAGGTAGCGTGGGTCGGTGAGCTCTCTCACCTGCAGCTCCTGCAGGTAGTGTGAGTCGGTGAGCTTGGGACTGAGCGCCTGCGCAATGAAGGCGTCCAGCTCTGGCTTGTACAAGAAAGACTGGCCCGTCACACTGCTCTGAGACATAATGTACCTGCCGACGGCGCAGACACGCCAGCGTCACGGACGGGCGCACCGCGGGGCGCATCACCACCAGCGGCGGCGAGCATCAGCCGGCAGCGGCGCGCAGATAACGGCCACCAGGCGGGCGCCACTCCGCAGCGGCGCGCAGATGACGGACACCAGGTGGGCGCCACTCCGCAGCGGCGCGCAGATGACGGCCACCAGGCGGGCGCCACTCCGCAGCGGCGCGCAGATGACGGCCACCAGGTGGGCGCCACTCCGCAGCGGCGCGCAGATGACGGACACCAGGCGGGCGCCACTCCGCAGCGGCGCGCAGATGACGGCCCCAGGTGGGCGCCACTCCGCAGCGGCGCGCAGATGACGGCCACCAGGCGGGCGCCACTCCGCAGCGGCGCGCAGATGACGGCCACCAGGTGGGCGCCACTCCGCAGCGGCGCGCAGATGACGGACACCAGGCGGGCGCCACTCCGCAGCGGCGCGCAGATGACGGCCCCAGGTGGGCGCCACTCCGCAGCGGCGCGCAGATGACGGACACCAGGCGGGCGCCACTCCGCAGCGGCGCGCAGGTTCGCCCGGCAAAGATCCGCTGATGCGACAACACCGCTGCTTAAAACAACACGCAAACGGCGCCCACGCCAGCCGAGCTGACAGCGAAGCTGGCGGGTGGCAGGGAGCGTATCGGGAAGGGCACTGAGTCGCGGGCGGACGGGGCGGCTCGTCAGCAGCCGAGCCGGGCTCGTCTATAGACGGCCGCCAGCACGGCAGGACACGCACGCCGCTGGCGCGCACAGCGCCGCCGAAGTCTGCCTGCAGGCACGGCCGGCCTACACAGGGCATAGCAACAGGCGGCCCCAACTCCCAGGACGGCGCAGCTGTACCGTCCTGTAGCGTACTCCCATGTCTGTACACCCGGAGACGCTCAAACAGCTCGTGGGCATGCTCACAGGGAGCGGCGCACCCGCCCCGCGCCGGGCCTGCTCACCTGAGAACACAAGCGAGCACCAGCAGCTGGTGCGGCACATACACCGAACTCCGCATGTTCGGGAAGTCGGACTGCATGCAGGTCAGGAAAGCCCTCAACCGACGCTTCTTGTCGTCGTCAGTCGTCCTGAGAACAGAACAAGGCCACACGTCCGCTTAATGGCTTCACACGTCCAATGGCTTCACGCATCTCACCCCAGACAGCTTTACATTAATATTGTGAAGCGTCCCGGGGCTCCATTTCCGTGAAGAAGCGCCGTGATCTCGCGGCAAGCCAATACAGGACTTCTTCAAGCGAAAGGGCAAGTTCCTAAACTCCAAAGGTGTTTGCCTCCTTACTTCACACCTGGAAAACCACAAGAGCGATTGGACGTGCCCAAGCGCGACGGGTTGGGACCAGCGAGTACCTATTCCCGCGGGAGGCACCGAATGCGGACAATGTCCCTCGCGAAATGCAAAATCTCTCGCTCGCGCTCCGGTGCCAAGTCCTGTGCCGGACATGACTGACTGGAGTGCGCATCCTCCTCCCACGTGCGGCAGTGTCGCCACCACACAGCCCTTCGCCAGGAACAGAGGACGACACGACGCGGCGCAGGTGCCGTCGGGTGGACACCCTCGCCGGCGGCGCAGTCTGCAGTCATCGGCCTGGTGGTGAGCCCGGACTCAGTCGGGGCGACCAAACGCGCCCCAACCGGCGCCGCCAGTCCGCCAGTCTGGTGGGGTGGCCCGCGCCGGCCGGCTCTGCGGACGCGCAGGGGCGGCCGGCGCGCCGCGCTCCCGCGGTGGTCACGTTTCACAGGCGGGCGGCATTCATTCATAATTCAGCGCGGCCGTGGTGGCGGCATGGCGACAGCGACACCCGGCCCGGCAGACAATGGCGGGCCAGCCGGTGCCAACCGGCTGGGGAGCCGTCAGCCGACGCACCGCACACTGATCACGCGCCGGGCCGGCCGCTTTGTGGTCTCGTGGCGACAGGGGCGCGGCGCACGGTGCGGCTGTCCGGCCTGATCCAGATCACCGGCGCCAATGTCCAGATTAATCCAGATCGAGCCGGCCGGCCGGGCTGGCGCACAGAGCGACGGCATGTGACGCGCGCCGTCCGCTCCGCTGGACGGGCCCCACAGACGGCCGGTTCGGGTCTCGCCCTGGCTGCCGACCTTGACCCCAGGTCTCACCCTGGTTGCTGACCTCGACCCCAGGTCTCACCAACGGCCGCTGACCCCGACCCCAGGTTTCACCCAGGCTGCTGACCCCGACCCCAGGTCTCGCCCCGGCTGCTGACCCCGACCCCAGGTCTCACCCCGGCTGCAGACCCCAACCCAGGTCTCACCCCGCCTGCTGACCTCAACCCAGGTCTCGCCCCGGCTGCGGACCCCAACCCAGGTCTCACCCCGGCTGCGGACCCCAACCCAGGTCTCACCCCGGCTGCTGACCTCAACCCCAGGTCTCGCCTCGTTTGCCGACCCCGACCCCCGGTCTCAGAGCCGCCAACATAAAGGTTGGCAGGGACCGGCGGTTCAGCCGAACTATGCAGTGACCCACACACGCCGTCACAAGACCACACATCCACGTCGTCGTCATTTGGTCCGGGGCCAAACACGAGCCGGGCTCGAGTGTCCTCTGCTACCCGTGGCATCTCGCAACTACAACAACGATATCAGAGGGTCTGACCAACTGCCGACCAGACCGGGCTCTGAGCGCTGGCTCGGCGCTGCCTCCGATTGTGCTCAACTGGCACGGCCCGACGGGACGCGGCCGCCCGGTATCCCGGCAATCATACCATGCCCCGCTGCCACCCGGCGCACCGGGCGCCATTATCGAGTCCACGCGGACGGCGCGGCACGCAGCGCAAACTCCTGCTGCGTCATGTCTTGCACAGCTTGCACCAATACACAAATGCAACACAACTGGGAGCTGTGCCCGTTTGTTGCGGACCGCCCGCGCCCACTGGTGAGCCACGGTACATACTGCGCGAGACCACAAAACAACTCCGTACCCTTTGTGTCACCAACAGAGCTAGCAAGCCAGCCACAGGCAGTTTTTCCACTCCCGTTGTGACGGCTCGACCCGCACGCGACGGCACACGACCGTGGGTGGGCGAGGTGACTGCCGCGGCCGACGCCGGCCGCGGCGCCGCCCCAAGACGTCACACAGCCCGTCTTCTCCACGGCACTCCCAGAATCATCGTCATTCGGCTGCCCGCCAGCAGTAGCAATCCCGAATCCCCCGAACTCTGTGACGCATGACGCCTGCCGTTGGCGCCGGAGCCGCGCCGCGACAGCCGGCGCCCGGAACGGCCCGGAAGCGGCTGACTTCCGGTGCAGCGGCGGCCATTCGGACGGAAGCCGCTCACCGACCGCCCGGCCGACACCGGCGCCGGACGGCCCCCGCACTGACGGCCGTCCGCGGCGGCGGCGGCCGAGCCGGCCGCCGGCGCACAGCTACGGGGAGCTGGCGCTGACGGCCGGCGCCGCAGCCGACGGGGTGACACTCACCCAAACCAGAGGCGCTGCACGGTCGGCACGCCCCAGCCCAGCGGCTTGGCTGTCACCAGGTCGGGCCGCGTGTACGGGTTGTTGCGACTGTAGGCCCACTCACGCACCTGTCGGCACGGCAGGCCGGCCGGTCACGGGCCTGGCGGCGAGGTCGGCCCACGGCCGGCCGGTCACGGCGCACCCAGTCACGTGTCGCCCGCTCCAACACAGTCCGCCAGCACGGTCAGCAAATATCTCCCAGAGTAAGCACATGTGAAGCTAGGGAGCTGGGTGCACATGAGCACATATATGCAAAATAGCAACAACGAACGCCACGGAACAAAACAAAGAATGCAACTGTGGGGCCGCATTGCCAACCTCACCCAGTCACGCCAAACATGCCTTCAACGGTTGCCCGCATCAACAGCTGAGTATGGTACGTGACCCTAGAGCGGGAGGCGCAGTGCGGCGTCGGTGTCCCGTGCCCGACGTGCCCGATCCGTGCTCGGCATCCCACCGGTCAGGGGTGTGGCCGGCAGCCCGGCGGCAGTCGGCCATCGCTCAGCCGACGACACCCCAGGCCAAACAAGCCGCCGCCGTCCGTACATGCCCTCCTCGTCACGGATGCCCCGGGGTCAGACGGCGACCGTGCTCTAAATACCGCCGCCGTGCTGACGGCACCCCTACAGGGGAGGGGCCGGCGCCCCGGTGCACGCGCACCAGCCGCGGCTCACTGGGGCGGACTGGATACAGCGGCCGGCCGGCCCGACGGCCGAGCAGGCGGGGCGGGGCGGGGCGTCGGCCCGGCTCGGCTCCGTCTGAGCGTCCCCACCCCGTCCACTGAAGGGTGCCACGCACTGCAGCACAACCACGCGCACATCTGGATGACGCGTCCATACGCTTCATTTCGAACCTCGCTCATTGTATGGCTCCAAGCTTGTCGCGCCCACATCCACCCATTTCGTTCGCGAGTGACCCGTGACAGAGCGCGAGACCCAAACCTCCACGGCGCGCAGCCTGACCTGGACGTGCGGCACCTGGTGCCGCTCGGGTGCCGGCTTCTCCTTGTCCTTGTTGTGCAGGTAGCTGTGGTGGTACAGGTTGAATAGGACGGCGTACACACGCTCGCGCACCGGTCGGAAGAAGAGCGTCGAGTTCGGCAGCTCGCGGCCCAGCTCGTCCTCCATGCTGACTGGAATCTTTAGTTCGCCCTGCCAGACGCCACGCCCACCGTCAGCACGGGGGAGCGTCACACACGGGCGGGGCAGAGCGGGCAGGCCAGCATCACACCGCCGCCTCCGGTGGACATGTCTCGCGCGACGTGAGCTCGTGCGCCCTCGCGACGGGACGCCTGGGACGTGGGGGGGAGGGGAGATACAGCCCTGTGGGGGGGGGGGGGACGTTCACCTCATACAGGTGCGGAAGGTCGCGCGTTCCAGCTCGCCTCTCGGCCAACAGTTTCGTCGAATACAGACAGGCAGGGTTAGCACCGCCTCCGTGCGGGTACTCTGTCGCTTGGCGGGCTCGCGAGGCCGCTCGGCCGCGCCTCAGGGAGCGTCGGCCGGCCTGGGTGCGCACTCACCCTGGAGAGCACCTGATAGATCCAGGGCGACATCAGGCCCTTCTGGTGTCGCTCGGCGGCCGTGCGCAGCACCTCGGCGCTAACGGGCGGCAGCAGCGGCGGCGTCATCACCACCAGCGGCCCCTCCACGCCCTGCTGACCCCACACACCGGTCACCGCCGACTTCGCCACGTCCTGCCAACAGCTCTGCACGTCTCACGTCCCAGCTCAACAGCTAGCTCAACATGACGGCGGGACGCAAAACCTCGCCGAGAACATTACCGTCGACAACGACTGCATAAGCGCTTCCGTAGCAAGATCGAAAACCCAATAATTCCCTTCCCCGCCACACACACACAAACTGACAATCACATCCATTAGCTGGCATGGCGCGCATCACTCTAGGCCCCCGTTAGCACCCACGGCGATGCATGGTGGGGCCCACCTGGCACCGCCGCCGCCGTGTTGTTGACACGGATATGGCGCGCTCGGACCAGATCGCTTCTCGTACATGCCACGCACTAACGACTGAATGAACAATGGACCCGTCTGCGACGGTGGGCCGACGGCCGACCGAGGCACGTTTGCTTAACAGACAGCACCTGGGCGGCCGGCAGGCGGCAGGGCTGCTCGGCGCCCGCTGCCGCCGGCCGACTGAGGCACGTTTGCTCAACAGACAGCACCTGGGCGGCCGGCCGGCGGCAGCGCTGCTCGGCGCTCGCTGCCGCGTCCGCCGGAACTCGGCCGCGAGAGAGACACGCCGACCGGCCGCCGTCTGCACCGGGGGAGCGGCGACGCCAGCCGGCCCGCGCTGCGGCCGTAGGTCGTGCGGCGCCGCTGCGGCCCGGCCCGGAGCCCACGGTAACTCCAGCGGCCAACAGCGCACACGGCGTCCACGTGGTGCACGTGACGCGCACAGTGACTTTACCCCCTGACTCAGAGGCGCCAGCCGGCCTGGCGGCGGAGGCGGCGAACGGCGGAGAAGGCACAGGACGCGTGACTCACCATGTCCATATGCCCATTGGCCGACGGCGCCACGCCGTTGTACGAGCCCGGAGCCGAGCCGGATATACTAACGCCATCTGTGGAGAATAACACGCACCTGCAGTGTTCCACGGAAACATGACCGGTCCGCGATACGCCGCTTGACGAACACAAAATAGATGTTGCGGGCACTCTACTCTGGCTGGCAAAAACGGATTCCACGATTAATATAAAATGGGTGCACATACAGCTAACACGGGGGGGGGGGGGGGGCGCATCGCGATTTCATGGCTGGTTCGATCCATTGAAACATAGTATACACAAACGCATATATAAAAACCATAGCGGAGACACAATGTCTTAACACGCGCTCGGGTGGGGGGTGGGGCGTGGGGGGGGGGGCAAACTGACCCCCTGACGGTTTTTCCTGCATGGTTTCCGAACGACGCGGCGTAGCCGCGCCAAATTTTGCGTGGCTGTAGACAATTTAATAGCAGATTGTTCGGCATCAGCAATTATAGATGTTACTTGTAAGGTCACTGACCTATGGCAGGTCAAAGTCAAGCCATGGTTTCAGCAGTCAATTTCTGGGGAATCCTTCAATCTGATCCAACAACGGAGTGTTAAACGAAGCCATACATATCTGAGATGCTTTCTTAGGCAACACAACAGCTCAATGAGGAAATAACACCGACCTAAGGTCAGGTATGAATGTCACACCAAGGTCCAAACCAACCTGTTTTGTTACTCTCGGGCTTGCGGAATGGGACAGTTTCTGGTACTCATTTCGAATTTACTGATAGCAGGAACCGCATTATACATCTTCCACGGCCTTCTTAAAGGTCAGAGCACGTCATTGACCTAAAATGACCCGGGTCAACATTTTGTTTTAGGAACATACTGCCTAGCGTAATCTTTGTCGCTCAGTCGAATGCAAAACTCAAGGCAATCTTGTATGATTTTGGTTACCTTGACCTTCAAAAGGTCAAACAAGGTCACTGGTCTTGAATGAGCATGTGACCTTTTGCTTAGAAATGGTTATCTAGGTTCTGTGGGCACTTTGGAGACCAAACTGGAACTTGACCTTGACCTTGACCTTGTTTTTTGACCCGAAGCTCGTGATCTAGGAATCTGAACCTTTAGCCTAGGTGAGTTCACATGCAGGTCAACACATCCTGCAAATTTTGTGTCCCTAGCTTTCTTAGTTCCCGAAATCTCAGGGGGGGGGAGGTAAATTGACCCCCCAACCCGAGCGAAGGGTATCTAGCCGGCCGACCGGGCGCGTGTTAACCCGCACCATACGAAACGAGCCGCAAACCTGCCCCCACGGGCATCAATCAGCAGCGGTTCCACAAGCGTGCCGCCACAGCGCCCGTTCCGCTGGCGTCGGTGGTTGCCAGCGCTGCCACCGCCGCCGTCGCCGTCGTCGTCCCGCCTGCACCCACTGTCGGTGGTGAGCTGGCCGAGCCGCTGTGTGATGGCGTCCATCGCCTGGCCGTCGGTCGGGACGGCCGGCGACGCCGGCTGACTGACGAGCCGGCTGGCAGGCGGCGCTGGCTCTGTGTCCGACGCGAATGCCGCCACGCCGTCCGGTTCGGCGGCTGCCGGGCGGGCCCCGTTCAGAACGAGTCGCGCAACCTCCTGACCCAACAGATGCACAGCTCCGGCGACAGACCAGGGTCAGTCAGGTCACCGCACTCTGACCCGACACACACACACACGCACGCACGCACGCACGCACGCACGCACGCACGCACGCACGCACGCACGCACGCACGCACGCACGCACGCACGCACGCACGCACGCACGCACGCACGCACGCACGCACACACACACACACACACACACACACACACACACACACACACACACACACACACACACACACACACACACACACACCTCCCGAGAGGGGGCCGCGGCGGTCGGCAGGGTCGGGCAGGGCTGCGACCCCTCCTAGTGCGCACATAGCTCCACCCGAGTAAGCCAAAGGTCACAGTTCCCTGACCTCTGCACATTTCAAATCTGCGCCACTCAACGTGGAGAAGACGTGGTAATGTACTGCAACAGCAGCCAAGTTCCAACGCAAAACAGCATGGCCACAGAAAATGTGTCACACGAAAACGAAACCTTACGAACGAGACGGACACGCGTAGAAAATGGCGTGTCATTCCACGAACAAGACGTACTTATCTGACCTGCCTGCAGGCGTCTAAAAAGAAATGGTCGCAGAAACAATGCCATGCGCACCTCGCAAATCTATCCTTAGATGCAATCAGGGATCGTCTACTTACATCACCGGCTACAAAGATGGAAGTGGCTGTGTATGCAGGCTCCGTGTGGAGCGTTACAGCTGTTGATACTGCTATGAATAACCAAGTGCTCGCCGATCAAGAGGCACCAAACACGCATTGTGATGTGTTAAACAAAAGTGGAAGGAATAAGTACACGGACAGGGAGGACAGCACCCCACGAAATTCATATGAGTAACATGCCCCATCCCCTCCCAAAGAAGAGAATACTCACTGGTGGCAGGTTTGTACTTGAAGTAGTCATCTCGGGACCCGTTCACAAAGTAGGCGACGCTCTGCTTGAGCTTTTGAATGCGAGGGTCCTTGGCCGACTTGAACACCCTTGCGCCGACCGTGTCCAGACAGTCGACCGACGGCAGGGCGCGCACAAACTCCAGCACCAGGCGGATGATATCCTCCGCAGGGGCCTGCAACGAGACAGGCACGCAGTGTCAGCAGCCCCACCCCGACAGAACAGCACGAGGTGAGCCGACCACAGGAGCGCCGCCTGAGAGCCGCCACCGTCGCCGCAGAGCCTGCGCGCCGCCCGTCCGCCCACCGGTCACCAGGGCGAGCGCGGCCTACCTTGGCCGGTGAGTCTGGCAGGCTCCGGAGCGACTCGTGGAACTCGGCCAGCTCGTCCTCTGTCAGCAGGTAGGTGCCCAGCAGGGCGGCCAGCAGGCAGAACCGGTTGGGCTGCAGGTCCAGCCCACGCGCCACCTCGTTCAGGATAAACTCCTTGGTCTCCAGCGAGCCCTGCCACACCAGCGCCAGATGGACGTTAAGTTTCACCGACCAGACACCGCGGACGGCCGGGATGGCGCACAGTGCGGCGAGGCACCACGGACGGTCGGGATGGCGCACAGTACGAGGAGGCACCGCAGACGGTCAGGATGGCGCACAGTGCGGCGAGGCACCACGGACGGTCGGGATGGTGCACAGTACGACGAGGCACCGCAGACGGTCGGGATGGCGCACAGTACAACGAGGCACCGCAGACGGTCGGGATGGCGCACAGTACAACGAGGCACCGCAGACGGTCGGGATGGCGCACAGTACGACGAGGCACCGCAGACGGTCGAGATGGCGCACAGTACAACGAGGCACCGCAGACGGTCGGGATGGCGCACAGTACAACGAGGCACCGCAGACGGTCGAGATGGCGCACAGTACGACCAGGCACCGCAGACGGTCGGGATGGCGCACAGTACGACCAGGCACCGCAGACGGTCGGGATGGCGCACAGTACAACGAGGCACCGCAGACGGTCGGGATGGCGCACAGTACGACCAGGCACCGCAGACGGTCGGGATGGCGCACAGTAGCATGCAGATCTATCGAGACGCAGGGGTTGTAGGCGTATGGCGTATGGCCACCGATCAACGGGGGGCGGATTGGCTGTTATTAAGGCAGCGAATAACAGCCAGCTCAGTAAATGAATAAATAATTGCCTGCCCCCATTCCAGCTTGAGTCTCATCCGGAATCCTACCGCGTATGGAACCAATCACGATGGCCGGCGCGGTAATATCACCAGCCTCGACGACTTGCACCAGGCAACAACATTCACACCCATTTGGAAACAGGGCGACGGTTCCCCACCCGCGCATCCCAGCAACACAACTCAGGTCCAACACAGTCTGCAGTCTCGACCACCCCTGCCGCCTCACCTTGTACGTGAGCTTCATCTGTTTGGCCGAGAAGAGGCGCGGCGGGTTGAACACCATGTACTCGGCGTCCTCGGCCATCACGCCGTGGTAGTTGTTGTCGCGGCAGAAGGCCATCACCTCCTGGCGGTGGTCGTCGCTGGAGCACAGCACCTGCACCTTGAGGTGACGCAGCGCCATGCGCAGCGCGGTGCGTAGGCAGGCCGGCGCCGTCCACCACACCTTGGGCGGCGGCGTCGACTTGAGCGCCACGTGCTTCAGCGCCTGGTTGATGTCGCGCCGCTGGGCGTACTGGTGACCCACCCAGTCGCGCATGCGTGGCAGCTCCAACGCGCCGGAGAAGAAGATGGCCAGCTCCATGTTATTAGCCTGCACCGTCTGGATGAGGATGGCCATGAACTGCACCATGCGGTTCCACTGGCCGCCGCACACCCAGTCTGCCGACAAAGGGGGAGGGGGGGGGGGAGATCAGGGACCCCACGGATCACGAGATTGTAGAACCGACCAGCATATTCAACGACGATGCATATTGCGCTGCGGTGATATTACAGACCACCAAATGCAAGCATCAGTCAGCCTCAAAAGGAACAAATACACAACGAGAAGAACTCGGTCTAAACAGCGCTAAACTGTAACGCACAGCTTTGTCCTCGCCGCCGCCGCGTGTCACCGGAGACGAGATGCCTGCTGCGCGCTGTCGGGCTCTGTCTGCGCGCTGTCAGACCCTGTCTGCGCGCTGTTGAGCCCTGTCTGTGCGCTGTTAGACTGACTGTGCGCTGTCAGATCCTGTCTACGCGCTGTCGAGCAGTCTGTGCGCTGTCAGACTCTGTCTGTGCGCTGTCAGACCCTGTTTGCGCGCTGTCGGACCCTGTCTGTGCGCTGTCAGGCTCTCTCTGTGCCTTGTGTCACACCCTGTCTGCACGCTGTCAGACGCTGTCTGCACGCTGTCGGACCCTGTCTGCGCGCTGCCAGGCTCTGTCTACGCTATCAGATCCTGTCTGCGCGCTGCCAGGGGCCGGTGAGCCGGCGTCGGCGGCTCTCACCGCTGAAGTAGCCGCCATACAGCCGGTCCAGACAGGACTCGGCGTCCAGCACCAGGCACAGCTCGACGGCCGGTGGCGGTCGGTAGCGGGCGCTAGGCGTGCGCGGCTGACGAAGCGTCACGCCCCGCGCCAGCTTCAGCAGGTCCACCGGCACACACGCCTGTGGTGCGTGCTCCTCAATGAATGCCTGAAGGTCTTGAATGCCCATCTTCTGGCTCAGGTGTTCACAATTGGATGGCAGGCCTGACTACAACAGCCGTGGAGGATGAGTCCGGTTCATGATGCCTTGGACAGTTGTGTTGAAGAACACCAGGGCCTGACCCCAGTTACTTTTTCCAGGAGCCATATATGGGTGGGCAGGAACCTGCATGGCTTCAAAGCATTTCAGCTAGCCATTAAACATCCTGGAAAGAGAAAATGTATGCTTGAACTTGTTCACAAATATATATCATTCCTCACTATTTACTCCATGGAATAACCATCACATCAAGAGGCTATCAACACCCAGCCTTGTTCATAAAAAGCACAATATGCAACAATTATTTTGAATAGTGCCCACATGCATAAAATTCATTTGCAGAGGTGGCTGCTTACTTTCAATGGTTGGTGTTCCAAGCTACAAATAACACAATCATGGGTTCACACAAAATAGCTGCCAGAAGGTTTAAGGCGAGCACTCCCAACTGGGGGAATGGAAATGGACTCTCCCAAGGGCAGAATATATACCATCTAGAGTCTAAGGTTCATTGCAATGCAGCTGAAGCATACCTGGGTCAAAAAAGATAACCATCCTGGCAGTGACATCAAGTCAGCACTGACTGGGTGGTGATGATGCCACATGAACTACTATGTGTGGCATGCACTGGATGAAAACAGATGCTGGAGAACCTAAAATCTGGGTCAGTGTCTTATTGTTTGTGCTAACAATGAGTGAACAGATAAAAGGGAGTTCCTAATAGTTTGATGTGATGGTCTTTGCTTAAATGTGACCATTTTGACTGTTTTTTTTAAAGCCAGAGAGATTCAGGCACCCAGAGCAGATAAACACCAATTGTTAAGTTTCATGACCAACTGCACAGCACCAACAAATATCCCAGCTACAACCCACTGGACAATTTTGGCAATGTTCACCCCATACATCCACAGTAGCTGACTGCCCAGGCTGCCAGTTTTGAAACCACTCTTGAACATGACAAGCTGTGACCTGGAGTGGCATTCATTATGAATTCTAAACCTACCAGTTCATAGGTCTGTCAGCTTGAAAAGTATCCACCCAAAACATACTTGCAAAACACTGCAGATCCGTTGATCACTTTTGCCAGAAGTGTGAGACTTAGCCAGATCTACCTCCAGTGAATTTGTCCAATGTTATCTCCACAATACCATGCAAATAAATACCTGTTTTCTAGATCTCCATAAAAGGCATACTTCCTCAATGCACTGATCATAACCCATTGTATTGGTTTGAAAAGATGCATAGATGCATTTACATCAGTTTGGGTATCATATACACCATGATATATCTGTGATCACTGTTCATTTCATGCAGAACAAGGCATGTCATTTATCATAACTGATCAAAATCAGACAGAAACTTGAAGAGTGAAGCTAAAGCCTGATGGACTTTGCCCAGCAAAAAATCATTTTTGGGTAAGAGATACAAACAAACAAGGCAAACTCTTTTACTTGACATCTTTGTGATATTTTTTGTAATAATAGCAGCCTTTTTTGGTTGCATATAGGATGTAAAATCTGTACTGTGAGGTATCTTGATGTGCTTTTTGACAGAGCTGTCCAGAAACATTATCATATACTTTTTCTTATCCAACATTGTAACACCATCCCAATCTCTCTGGCCTATGGCAATAATTAATTCCCCCTTTCTTATCACATATGCTTCTTGGTTTTCATGCTATCTGTATTGAGTGCTGCTATCTCCTGAGATGGTGACACTCAATATTATATTTGAGCCATATAAACAATATATTTGCTATGAAAATAAGTGTGCTGTTGTTGCTAAAACATTGGCTATCTTGCACTTTCACACAAATGTTTGGTGGCAGTTGGAAATCATTGGGAAAAGAATAAGCAACACATGAAAACCCAGGGTCTGATTCTGAATGTATATCTAAGGTGAGCTGGGCCTGGTTGACCCATTGTCACCCAGTATTACAAACTGCATTTTCAAAGAAAAATCTCAACATACTTTGCACAGCTGGCCAGCCAAGGGTTCTTGCCTATCAATCCTGAGACAACTTCAAACTCTACTCTGGTTGCAATCAGTGGGCCACTGATCAAACTCAATCATGCATCAAGATTTAAGCCAGCAGGCCACACTCTATGTATGACATTGTTTGGCTGTCAGCCTGCTGCCCACACAATTGTTTGACTTGTCTGTGAGTACCCTAAGATATGCAATGAAAAGCTTCATGATCAACTGGCAGTGGGTGCATGCATGTGCACACATCTTTTCTTTTTCATGTGTCTGCTGGGTATTACTATTGACATGCATCTCCTCTTACCCTGAACTCATGTTCAGAAAAAAACTCCTTAATTGCTGTCAAAAGTTGGGGTGAGACAATGGTATAACCTGATCAGTGGCCAAAGTTTCATGACATTTACAAACTGGGGCCCAACATTCATACAATAATGTTCAAAGCTGCAATCAGTTTTCCAGCAGCACTCAGTTTGAACAAATTAGATCAAACACTGGGGTGTAAAAGATCGCCAACCAAGAGGCAGAATTCTACAACTGTGGGCTACATGTACATGGCCTTGTGGGACTTGGCCACGCGCAAGAATCATGGGGTTTTAAGGAACGCCTAGTACTTGATAACACCATATCAACACGCCCACACTCCCGCATACGCTGCACACAATATGATAAATACTTTCACCTGCAGGTAGGTCAACAAAATATACTTTACCCATTACATCAACGCACTTACTAATATGACTAAAGACACCCGCCCTGCGCCTGTAATTAGGTCAATTACACATACCGCAACACACCTCCCGCACACTAACCACGCCGGCGACAGCCGACGCTCGCGTTGGATAACCTTGGTTTCGCCGGGCACAGGTTGTCGGTCAATGCGGCGCAAACGTTCATTCGGTGAATTGTGGGGCTATTCGATAGCCGAAACATTTGACAATCCCATTCCCTGGAGATATAGGTCTAAACTATGCGAATCTCTCATCATCCGATGAGGCACAAAACTTATTTGTCACCTTGAAAGTTCTATGATCTTAGATTAGATAATAGATCACTAAAAGACCCAGCACATTGAAATTAGATGCAAACAGGCCAATGCTCCAGGCATTTGGGAACAATTCTCACAAACACTTCCCCATTCGATAGGAAATAGTTTGCATTCTACATATTTTCAAGAAATTGGCGGACATAGCACGGGTCCAAAGGATGCTTAACACGCTCACAACCGAAGAAATCTGGTTTGCGGATAAACCCATGCTCAGGGCCGACCGACTTTTCCAAAGACTGATTAGCATGAATACTTTTGTAGTACTAGTAAAGTGAGTCGTAATTTTCATATCATAAAGCATAAAGATGCATTATCATAATATGCATGTTATTTATCCTGTAATTCGTTGAACTGAGCTCGTCCACCCACAATGTGCTGATAAAGGCGCGTGTCAGTGCTCGGTGGCAGTAAATTAGGGGCACCCTGTTATTGGTCGGACGTGGAAGGCAAATTCGACGCCGAAACAAAACAAGTGGTGTGCAACGTGGGCCAGCGGCAGAGTTTGGGAGCGTGTGGCGTAGGAAGATTTGGTGCATAGAGATACTGAGTCAGTTTGCTTCCATCGTTAATTCTTAAATATGGGGCGAAGGAAAAGCAACCGGAAGCCGCCTCCAAAGCGGAAAAATATTGAGCCACTGGACTTGTTGTTCAACTGCCCCTTCTGCAACCATGAGAAAAGCTGTGAAGTGAAGATGTAAGAACATTTAGACGATTTTTGGGGACGAGACTTGACCACAGCATGTTGAAGAACATGTGGAGCAAAATGTGTCTGTCTGTGCTTATGTAACTCGCATGCCGTGGGTTGAAAGGCACTCATATGTATGATCTCAAAGGAGCACTTCATAATGACAGCTTGCAAATGACCCACACATTTTGTCACAATTAAGTGACTGGTATGCTGAAAATGGAGTGTGTTTGCATTTTACCCAGTTCAGGCTGCATTGATGCTGAATTTTCAAATGGCTTTTGCCTGAAAAGTGTATTGGTGATATGTTTGCATGAAGTTACCTTGCATCATTATTTTGGGAAACACTGATGTTATGTTCTAAAGTTGGTGATGACCATGGCCCAAACTGAGTGCTTCAGTTGACAGTGCACCTGCGTGAAAAGAAGCCAGGGTGTTGCTGCTATACTGGACATTCAGCTTAACACATATGTTTTAGTCTAGTTGTGATTGAGCAAAGTGTGTCAACTTGAACAATGAAACATGTGCAGAATGGGTGAAACCAATGAGAAAGCTCAGCATATGCTTGGATGTATTTTTTGGTTTGGAACACCTCACAGCCAATGAAAGTTAGAGGGTACAGTGCCAGGTTGTCCAGCTCATGCCACATACATTTAGACCAGACTGTTAAAGTATAGGCTATGCCAAACATGTCAAGTGTAACAGTGATATCCTGACAATCATTTTGATGCATGCATACCTTCAGTCTGGGAGAACCAAGTTTAATGGATGGTTGCCACTAGTTTTGGTGTACAGATAACCAATGCTTCAAAAAGTCATGATAGTGCTAAGGCTGTTTCAAAGAAAGCTGTCATTAAAACATTTTTGGATTGGTTTGCCAGGATGTTGTACTGCACATGTGTGCTCCAGGTGCATGAGCATCCCATGGGCATCTTGCAAACAGGATGCAGTTTTTTATAGGCTGTCACAGAATGCCCATAAAGAACATTACAAAATATTAACAATGTTACAAAGCATTAAAAATGTTACACATTTTTAGCTATTCTTCACTTCTTCCCCTAGTTACTGAGAAGACTGGGTGATGCCCCCTCCCTTGGTTACTCTGTGTTAAACATAACATTCCTAACAGGTAGTATCTGTGAAGGCCTTGATTAGGCTAAAAGTGTAGAGGACAAATTGGCATGTTTGTCATTGTACAGAGCCAGCAATATCTGGTTTAGGCTAGGTTTTACAGCTGCAGGTGTTATGTGCACATGTTTTTGGTTATGTTTCAAAATTGTTCAGAAGGCTTAAGCATGAACTGCAATCACATCTAAGCATGGCTAAGCATGCTGCTTGCTCTCTCCTCCCTTTTTACCATTCTGTTACCCTGTCAAAAATCCCTCCCTCTCAATATGAAGCATAACATTTAAATGGCCCCATATGGATAAAGCACTTGTGGTTACCTATTTACTAGGCCTGAGATCAACATACATTTGCTTCTCAGAGATGGGCACTGGTAGAATTTCATCCTTAAGTGTTGGCTTGATTTTACACATATGAGGATATTTGTTGAAGGAAAGGTTGCTGGCCATGAACTATGGCCATGCCATTATGACATGCATGCATGTGGGCAGAATCTGTCCCTGAGGCTGGAGGTGCTTCAAAGATTCTGTTTCTGTTGCAACATAAACCATTTCTGTATAAACATGATAACATTCCAGCTTTGTGAAGTGTTGTGTACTTTTTGTGCCTAGGGCCTATTTTTGGGCTTAGGGCCTATTTCATGTCATCTGAATTGTATTTGGAGTCATGATTTTACATGTGAGAGCACAAATGTATCCTTTAAAGCCCAGGTGCACTGACACAGAAATTCAAACCCCATGTGAAAAGTATCCTTTTTCTCACAGTAGGTTTTTTGGTTAAAATTGGTTGATTTATCAAGATTTATTGTAAGGTATGGGTCTGGTGCCACAATGCCAAGTTTCTCAGCCCATATAATTTACATATATGGTCTGCATTTCTGGATGATCACACTAGGTTGAGGTGTATGTACTTGAGTAGAGCCTGAGATTAAGGAAATTTGTGGCCAATTAGATATTGCTGCAATAGTTTTGGCAGACTTGTTTGCTCGCAGTTCACTTATCAGGCTCATTTTTGGTATTGCTAGTCTCACTGAGTCTACTTTCCAGATGCAAAATGTCATGCTAAGTCTCACTTTTGATGTGGTCCTGTGTACAGACACCTCATCTTTTCTTTCTGAAGTCTCGCTTTTTAGTCATCTCCAAGTATTTTAACACCATATAGTCATATAGAACATAAGCCTAATACCCTCATACCTAAGTCTAATTGTTTGTTGATTATTGTCCATCCATTCTGCCTGAGACATGACATACCAAACAATTTTCATTCTAAAAAGGTCAGACTAGTGTCACACTGCATTATTTTGCCAAGGTCAAAACAATTATGTGAAAAAATCATCTCATTTTCCTTAAAATATGATGATGCCTTAGTTTTCACAGGTGTTAGGTATTAGATAGGTAAGTGGGTGGCTGTCAGGTGGGACAAAGGTTGTAGGTACTAGGCACATAGACATTGTGCTTTAAACTTAGATGTGTAGGTCTGACGAAGTTATGTTAGTGTCATTGGTAGTGATGAACAAAGGGTACTCCTTAAGTTCAACAGTCATCAGGTCATTGATGGCCTCAAGCATGACAGTTTGTATGTGGGTATGTAATGTCATGCACCATCTACTCTGGAGTCAAGTGGTGCTTCAATACATGAGGCTTTGATGTTGAAGGATTTGAAGTGTTATTAGGTATGTTTAAGATGAGATGCAAATGGTGTTGACATGGTTGTACATAGTATAGGGATATTCTCATGGTCCTGCCAGGCCAAAAAGACCAGCAGCAGAGTTCAGTGTTAGACCAAAGGCAGTGCTACCATCGTGGCAGAATCACAGCACAAGCCACATGATCCACTTGGCAGGTACTGGAAACTTGATAACATCCATGCACGACATTCAGAATAGACTATCTGACATGTGTGGGGAATGGCATGCTCATATACCATAGCTCACTTGTCAGGAACAATAAGAAGAGATCGCTGGTGCATCACCATATGACTCTCTGACATCTCTTGTCAGTTGTCATTCCAGATGCACTGATCAGTGTATTGCCATCCCTGTTTGCAGGGACAAGGCGCGCAACTCTGGCCGCGTGACCTGCCGTGTCTGCCTGGAGGACTTTCAGACCAACACCAACATCCTCTCGGAGCCGATCGACGTGTATAACGACTGGATTGACGCCTGTGAGAACGCCAACTGACCCCGGCCCCGTGGCGGAGCTGGTGCCGCCCGCCGCCGGCGTCGCGCTTGCCCCCTTACCCGGGAGCTCACACGCAGCTGCCGGCCGCACCAGAGGGTGGCGCTGGCGGCGGACCGCCGGCTGACGGCTGGCAGGGAGGCCACGCGGCCGTGGTGGGTGCCGGCCGACCTGCCGCTGGCACTGATGTGCCGTGCACGCGCGCGCCTCCGCGACGGCCGGTCGGCTGGCAGGGAGGCCACTCGGCCGTGACGGGCGCCGATGTGCCGCGCACGCGCGCGCCTCCCCCACGGCCGGTCGGTATGCAGGGAGGCCACGCGGCCGTGGTGGGTGCCGGCCGACCTGCCGCCGGCACCGATGTGCCGTGCACGCGCGCGCCTTCCCGACGGCCGGTCGGCTGGCAGGGAGGCCACTCGGCCGTGACGGGCGCCGATGTGCCGCGCACGCGCGCGCCTCCCCCACGGCCGGTCGGTATGCAGGGAGGCCACTCGGCCGTGACGGGCGCCGATGTGCCGTGCACGCGCGCGCCTCCCCGACGGCCGGTCGGCTGGCGGTTACAGGTGATTTTCAGTTGTCAGTGGAGTGCTCGGCCGTTCAGGGTCGTTTCCTCGCAGCATGGGAACATCTCGTGTCAATGCCGGTAAAGCCTGCCGTTGAATCTTGCATCGGTCTGCGGCTGCTAATTTTGTTTTCTTTGCATATCATAATGTTTGTGTGATGCTAGTAAGATTGGCAAATCCTCGCAAATCTCTGTGGTATAAGTGAGGCACGATCTACGTAACTCTGCCCATCAGAGAAGTTAGAAGGTTGCCCACATCTTATGTCGCGACTTAACATGTCATGTACGATTTGCGATCATGTTAACTGTCGTTCATCTGTCATCATCATTTGTCATAAATCAATAAAAGTGGCCAAGGCTTACCTTTCGTTGTGGCTGTGAAAGTGTTGCATGCTTAGGTCGATTCGAAATGTTCCTGGATGTCATGGTCCATAGAGGAATGAGAAAATTGCATTCCACATCTTTTCAACCTCAACGAGAACAGAACGAATGAAAGTTTGGCTTTTTGCAATGGCAATTCGGCCAGATGCGCCGCGTATCGTGTCGTGAATACGACGCTGTAATTTTTTACACCGATAGTGAGCCTATGTTCAAGCCAAAACGAGTTAGTGGCGTGTAGAGTGGCAGGCTGGCATAAAGAAGGCGCGGCAGCTTTTCACACGGACTCCTCGTAGAGTGTTTTGACTTGCCTTCTCCCACGCGGGATATCGGCGAGGTTCCCTCCTACTAACCGTGTCCCTCTCCCACGCGGGATATCGGCGAGCTTCCCTCTTACTAATCGTGTCCCTCTCCCACGCGGGATATCGGCGAGGTTCCCTCCTACTAACCGTGTCCCTCTCCCACGCGGGATATCGGCGAGGTTCCCTCTTACTAACCGTGTCCCTCTCCCACGCGAGATATCGGCGAGGTTCCCTCTTACTAATCGTGTCCCTCTCCCACGCGGGATACCCCTCTCCCACGCGGGATATCGGCGAGGTTCCCTCTTACTAATCGTGTCCCTCTCCCACGTGGGATATCGGCGAGGCTCCCCTTACTAATCGTGTCCCTCTCCCGCGCGGGATATCAGCGAGCTTCCCGCTTACTAATCGTGTCCGCGCTGTTTTGATCAGAAAACAATACCACGTAAACCGCGATTTTGTGTTTGTTGCCCCGTTTTTACAACAAATCCCGGTAATAAGTGTCAGTTAACCCATCGCCGGCCGTGGCGGCACCACCGGCAACACGGAATGCCTGTGGCAGCTTACTGTTAGAACTAGCGATGGGTACATAAAACAGCTTCACATTGTCATACGACATAGGCATTCATCTAAAGTTGTAGCGACAACGGAGGTCTTGTGCGTTGGGGTACTGAAAACCAAGATGAAGCCCATAGAACACCCCCGTCTGCCCATGTGTCCCGGCGCAAGCAGCCTCGCTGAGTGGAATGGATAAAATCCATCTGTAAAGGAACACCGTGGGCCGAGTGGTGCAATCTTGTAATGTAGAAAAATGGACTACGGTGCTCAAGGTAGCATGTAAAAAAGGCGTAGCGTGTAATCCAACCCCACCGATGGCTTAAAGCGCAACACAGCAGAGTTGTCTGAACTGCCGTGAAGAAAACTGTGGCGTACAGGCTCTACATTTTCCGGCCATTCGACGACGGGAGCATATGAGAGTGGTAAAGTTCATTCGCGTAGGTGCCGAGGAGTCAGCTGTTTTTTTTTTATGTTGTTGCACATGTCCCTTGGGGTCCACTGCCTGTTGCTTCTTCCCTCGTTCAGGGTTGATAATCCGTTATACGATGAATCTGTCATCCGATCATCCGTCACCTGGCTCCAGGCACCGAGCCGGATGACGCATTCACCCACTCAACTGTCCAAGGTTGCAAGAGCAGTTGGTTCCGGACAAGATGGCGCTGCCGTCTGGCCGTAAAACGGGTCGAAATGTCGGCTGATGGGAGGATGTGTTGTCTGTGGCGCAGGCGGTAATTTGCTGTTCTCCATTGCACTTGGATGCACTCCGTAAAAAGGAGACGCCGACGAGGAACACGCCAGTGACGCCATTGAACCACATTGGTGAAGTGACGCATCGCTCATTCAGAAGAACTGTATGTGCTGCCTTGCATACGGTACGTCACCCCTTGTTTGCGGCCGCGGGCGACCCATGAAAGCAAGAGCCGCCTCACACAACACGGTCGTCGAGAGACCGCTGCTTTATTGAACTTCGGAGCCGCTACAGACACCTCGAGCAGCGGGGCCCGGCCGCCACTGCGCACCGCGACGCTTGTGTAGGAAGCATCCGTTCAACCGATGCCGCGCTGTGATGGGGGGTACCCCGGTGACCCCGCCTTAGCTGGTCTCCCATGCGTAACGACAAAACACTGCACGTGCCAACACCGCGCTGGTTAGCAACAAAATGTATCAATGCCCCGACTTGCACCATGTTCATAGACCTGGAACTCTCACTAGATCCAGTACCAATAGCTCTGGCCCTTGCACAGGCTGAAATGGCCTGGGCATGCCCGCCATCCGCCCAGTAATAAATATGTTTCATCCGCCGTCAGCGAACGGGGCTCGGCTCACTCGCGGCTACCACCCGAGCCACTCAGCCGCCATGGTGGAGAACTTCTGGATGGTAGTGCCGAGACCCTTTGCGTCGCGCAGTTTGGGCGTGTCGCACTCTGGCACCAGCCTCTCGCAGTCCACCGGGTCTTCCTTCAGCGACTGCAGCTTATCCACCATCGACAGTGAGCCGCTGGCGCCCATCATGTAGGCCACGCCGCCGCTGCCGGGAGAGGCGTTGTTAGCGCGTGGACGCAGGGCGGCCCTCGACAGCGCTTGGGGCGGGGGGGGGGGGGGCATTGCCAGCCATGGGTGGAGGTTAGCCTGAGACAGTCAGGGGTGCGGGGCGGCAGCGTGCGAATCTGCCGCACTTCCAGCCGGCGTTCCAGTTGTGCAATGCTCGCTGAGAACATTCCCTTTGTTCCGGGGGTCGGCGTGGGGGGGGGGAGGGGGAGACCCCCCCCCCCAAATGCGTAGGGATTTGGTTCACTTTTTTGACGGGTTGGATACGCTGAAAGCTGCAGTCTCCCGAACTATATCGTGCCCTTCCCTCTTCCAGCCGTTCACCACATCGTCACATTTCTGACAGGTGTTGCATGACCGTGTGCTGGGAGGACCAGCCCACCTGACTAGCGACCGGCGACACCGGTGGCGCGGCGCTGCTGTGGGCCGTAACTTGCTACAGCGTCGTCAGCCCAAGATAAATGTGAAAAATTGGTAATGTTTCCGTCATTGGTTTGCTGGCACTGAAAGCGGTCACCCTTAGTTCGGTATCCTTATTTGTTGCAAACACGGTTGGAAAACTTGTTCGGTAGGCCTTGTCGTCTTATAAGGTTCAACTTAATAGTTACGTCGTCGCGTCAGACTGTTAGTCAACCATCCCCCCCCCAAGAGCACATCCAACCAAGGCCGCTCACATGGCGAAGTCGAAGAAGGGGTCGGGCTGGCCGGCGGTGACATGGTCGCACACGAGCCGGCGCGCGCACGCCTCCTGGTGCGGCTGGTGGCGCAGCTGCCAGAGCGCCATCAGGTGGATGGGGAAGTGCCACCACTCCTCGTCATCCTCGGCGCGTGATTTCCTGTGGAACATGGCGGCGCTTAGTCCATGTCCAAGTGTCCGCGCAGTGCACTTCCGGCTGAGGAAGGCTGGTGGTCACCTGCACATCTCTGTCTTAAGTGCGCTCAACCTCAGGGGAGTAGCTGGCAAATTGCTGCCTCTCTGAGAGACGATAAACGTAAGAATGTACGAACAGAATTTACGCAAGACAGGCACAGCGATACCAGCAAAATGTGTACAGACGAGACACCTGCTTACAGAAAGGCCGCGTCAGCTAATCGCTGGAACACGTCTGCCTCGATGGGGCGGTGTGACCCCAAGCCCCGTAATGTGTTGCCCCTGATCGTGGTTGGGGCTGGGGCTGCGCGCCATCTGCCGGCTGTGAGCAGCCGCCGTGCTCCGGAGTCTGACTCACTGGGTGGAGCTGTTGGGGGTGGTCAGACCGACCATGGCGAGCATCCTCTCGTCCAGCAGCGACTGGAAGAAGGTCGGGAACGACGCCCGCGCCAGGTACGCAACTGCAGAGAGAACAGCGCTGATGTTACAGATAAGCGCACGTAAGGCCGGAGCGGCGCCGAGCAGGACCGAGATCAGCACACGTAAGACCGGAGCGGCGCCGAGCAGAACCGAGATCAGCACACGTAAGGCCGGGGCGGTGCGGAGCAGGACCGAGATCAGCACACGTAAGGCCGGAGCGGCGCCGAGCAGAACCGAGATCAGCACACGTAAGGCCGGAGCGGTGCGGAGCAGGACCGAGATCAGCACACGTAAGGCCGGGGCGGTGCGGAGCAGGACCGAGATCAGCACACGTAAGGTCGGAGCGGCGCCGAGCAGAACCGAGATCAGCACACGTAAGGCCGGAGCGGTGCGGAGCAGGACCGAGATCAGCACACGTAAGGCCGGAGCGGTGCGGAGCAGGACCGAGATCAGCACACGCAGCGTATCAGTCAGTCGCAAGGAGGAGCAGCATGCCCGGAATCACGCTTCGGCCGTTCTTCTAACAAGGGCGCCCCCTTACCCGCCGCGCAAAAAAAGGTTTGTTCAATCAATGCACGTTGCAGTGAAGTGAAGACATTTAACAGTACTCGCCAAAAAGGTCGTGTAAGCTTACGTTGATTTCATAACGAAAGATTGCAGCATGAACGGACATAGTTTCGTGTCAATCTAAAAATATGAAAGCAAACCTGCTTAGCACGCTGCCCGTGACCAGTCCAGCACGAAAATTAACGACGAGGTTGTCAGTATCATCAGTAACGATCAGTACACTGAGCCTTGTGGGCCCAGGTCTTTGTTCCGGCAGTTTGCGGACGGCTGATGTCGGGCAGGAATGCGTTCAAGACGTTAGCATGATTGTGGGTCAGGTATACCAGTTTGCTGCGGAAATGCGACTAGAATAGGCTCGTAGGTCAAAGCGAAGGCTCTTGTCCAGTCCGGTTTTTCTGCGTTGGGTGCAGCCGCGCGGCAGCAGGGCGTGATCGCGCGGCGCCACCGGTGATTCGACGTGAACCCAGCGTCAACCCCACAGACCCGGTGGCTTTGCCTGCCGGAGGCCTTATCGCCAGCGCTACTTCTACCTCAGCGGTCAACAGCCCACCTCCGGTCCTGCAGCTGCCACTGCCACCGGACGGCAGCGGCGCTCCGGCGGTGCCGCAGGTCGCCGCCCGAGCGAACCAGTTCTGTAGCGGACTGGGAGCGCGGGGCGGGGCGGTCGTCGGCACGCTGCAGTGACCTGCTCTCGCCGCTGCTCTGGATAACGGGTCAGCGCGGCGGTCCAGGGCCGGGCGCCGGCATGTCCGCCTCCCGCCTCCAATGGTGGTGCATAGTCGTCCAAGCTGTTGATGGCCTTGCGTGCTGACGTGTGTGGATCCCATCAATGGGTCCCAGGGCTCATTGTCTGCTTTTGCTCAAACGACCTACTGGCATAATCCTCCCCTGTATGTTAGTTGCTTAACAGCCTTCATCCATATTCGTTGGAACTTCACAAATGTCTTGGGATCCGCGATTCATTTAAACTTGAAGAATTTTTCGGTACACAGCATACATCTCGAGGTTTTGTCATAAGAGTTATGGGATACAGGAGCCGTTTCTCCGACCACCAAGGCTCGCAAATTCCCTTGGGTGTGTTTAGGGAAAGTGCGGGTAGATCCCTTCAGCGTTTCGCTCCATGATATTCGATATGCGTGGATTCCTTCTGGATCCTCGCACGACTTTTTGTAAACCCAAGGGTTATGGCATACACGATAAGTGTAATGGGGCTCCAAATTTGACGTCAACAAATAAAGATTAACTTGAATCGCTTGAAATGGCGTGATAATTCTCAGAAATTATCTCTCATGCCAGCACGTATGTGATGCGACGTGTTGAAGCACTAGCTTTAAAGTGTTGTTATTACTTAAGGATCACGTATAAGGCAAGGAAATGTTAGAAAGGACACTGGCTGCTACGTGGGGTTGAATTTCACACAAGCATGATGCGCCGGCTGATCAAGGCAGGAGCAGCGAGGTGAGGCCTCCAAAGGTAGTGGAAAGGCATAGCTTTTCTCTCTATTGGGTGTTTTTTTTGGGTTTCTGCGCTTGAGCTTCTGGTACGGTATATGGAATTGGCCTCTGATATTCGGCGTTTGATGCGGCATGGCCAGCGCTCACATGTTATGCTCATGGGCTGACGCCGGTACGCTCTGCGATTCCACTGCTCCTCATCTTATGCTAGTCATTGTTGATGACTCGGGTGGGAAGTCCAGGCTGAGGTTCGCCGCCCGCTGACCGGACCAGTGTACTGTACTGGGCCCGGGTCGGCCCAGTACAGCCGCGGCCGATTGGCCCGCGTCACGACAGGCGCCGCCGGCCACTGTCACGGCTGTTTTCCCAGCGAACGTCGGCCAGACGGACCGCCCGCTCTCTCCCAGGCACCACCGTTAGCGGTCCGCCGTGGAACAAACAGCTAACGGTGCGCGCGCCGCGCACGCCCCCGTCCACTGAGCTCGGCAGAGCGACTTCACGCGCGCGTCATTTCCCGTGCGCCGTGCCAGTTCACGGTCCAGTGTCGGCGGCGCCACTGGCGCTGGCGCGGCGCCGGCGGAGCGGGTCCTGTTCGCCGGAGTGACGCGGCGCTCGGCTGAGACCGGCGGCTGAACAGACGGCCTGGATTGGGCAGGCGTTCCCGTGCGCCGTCGGCACATCGTGACCCGTGACGTCACGGCCTTTTGTGGGTGTGACCGCAGCCGGCGCAACAGACCGTAACACCAGGCCGCCGCCCAAGCGCGTCCGAGGAGTCGGAGGCGATCATACCTCGGCTAGGAAAAACACGCGGTGGCCCGGCCGACCAGCGGGCCGCCACGTCTGCGAGGGCCCGCCCGACCCGGGTCACTGGACCAAGGCTCGTGAGCCGGAGGTTCGTGATGAAAAAAGTTCATCACAAAAGACGCGCATGCACAGGTTCGTGTCGGTAATTGCTCCTGGCATAAAATATACACAATCAAGGACAAACAGGTATGGACACATGAAGACATGCAAATGGGAAAGCCATGTTTGTTATGAGCGCTACATATGTATCTGTATCAATACGCAAAGATATGCTCATATGCGTTTTCCGGCACGAACCTATGTTCACACCCCTAGATCACATCAGCGACAGGTCGGCCGACTTGTCACACTTCAGGGCTGCAGAAGTGCCGGGCAATGGCGCAATCAGCGACATAGAAAGGAGCTGTGAACGGGGAACGCACCGGACTTGGCCGTAACCGTTGGATCTGTAATTAACCCTCGAACGGGGGTGAAAAAGTGTTTTTTTCTGTCACCGATTAAATCTGAAACCGTCTTAATCGTCCCGTGGCGTCAAATCTTTCAGAAACCGTTGCAATATACCTCTGAATGCGATGAACCACAAAATAAAGACAAATTAAATGCGGCACAACCATCAAACATTTTCGTTCGGGGAGTTCATTTAAGCTAAAGCTTCATTTCATGCCCACCAAACACTGAATGCTGGTTGACTAAACTATTAGAATTATCAGATAAGGGAATACTTACATAACCAGCCTAAACGCGCGTAATTTCCTTTTCGCCTGTGGGGCGGGGGATTGTGCCTTCCAACCAGGGATGCATTTTACTTTTTAAGACATGATTTTTATGAATTTTTTCGCTTCTCATAATGTTGGGTTCATTCCCCCAGAAGACATAATTTTGAGAAACACTGATATAGTATAGTTTGTAGCATGTTTCTCTTACCGGCTAAAACCTGTTCTGACTAAAACTGCTATGTTTGGCGGCATTTTATGGCTCAGCTTAGTCACACAGGGAGACGTCAACATTTTGACATGTGCTCACCATGCAAGCGTTAGCAATTTCAGGGCAATACTTCTTAACTTTGGGTTTCATCGAGCTGCGATTATCTGTTGTAATATCGCCTTGCCTCATTCGCAAAATTGTCAGCATTTGTTACCGATTATATCCGGTAAATCTCATCCCTGCGTTCGAGAGCGCGGGATCGCCCACACGCAGGGCTGTACTTGTAGATTTGTATCAATGCCATCAATACGATTGGCCGTATTTATCAGTCAATTTGTGTTGGCCCATGTCGATGCGATCAGTGTTGCCGAAATCTGGTCCCAGTTTTCATCTGAATTGTACCAAGTTTTCGCAATGTGTAAAAGTTCACGGTTCTGTGTTGATCCAATGGGATATAAGAATGCAGGGAAAGCACACCTGAGTTCAACAATGTGCACACGGCGTTTTTTAATGTTCTACGGGTGTTTGCAATGAATCGTGCCCCTTGTTCCTGAAAACTGCGTGACATTAAAACCAGAGGATCTCAACATACAAGCCATTAAGCCGTGGTGCCGGACCGCGGCGCTTAAGTCGAAAACGTTTCCAAAGGTCAGCAAAACTTACTCGATCTCCGGCCCCGTTGCAATGAGGATACATGGCACTTCAAACGTGCTTGTTTGCAAGAAATCAGCCGCTTATGTAGTGATCGACAAACAGTAATTTGACACTTTCCTAACGATGAACACTAATTACAGACCATCTTGAGCTGCTGGACCAGGTCGCTCGGGCTCACACATGATCGCCGGGCTGCTATTGGTACCCTATGACGGAGTCAGCCCCGCCCCTCGCTCACTCTGGCGGGATTTGCGGACACGGCACACGTCGCGCTGAACATAGAACTACTCGACTCGTGAGGCTTCTGGATATTGGTGGAACAGGCATGATGCACGGCAACGAGCTCCCCGAAAAAATGCGCACGTGGCCAGTCGCATAAATACGGATGTCCAGTAATGATACACAAACTAGACACGCCGGTCTTGCTAAATAATTACGTCAGAGGCCTCCCAATGAAGAGCACTAAGAAAGATATTGCCTGCTCTGGCAAAACTGGCGCGTCAGTAAAGGGAAAACAGTTTTCAAAAGCAGATTCTAATGGACGTCTGCTGTCTTTGTGCGACTTTTCTGCGAGTGCCTAGTGATTCATTTCCGCTACTTTACAAAAGTCAGCTCACTTAACCGCAGCATCACTCGCTTGAGCCCTTCACAAACCGCCCCTTCACGCGGCGATGATAAGGGCTCACCCCATCTGCTTGACTGGACCACCCATTAATGCCCCTCGGCCCTCACACAACTCCGTCGAAATCGTAATTTAAGCCAAAACTCAGTAGCTCGCCTCCCATACGAATTTGCAAGAGAAAAGGCCCGGAAGAAGGCAACGGCTAATAGTGTAACCATCATGCTTATTATCTGACCGGAAAGAAGCTCACAATTTACCTACATGTCGATGACATGGCAGGAGTAATAAAACCATGCCCAAAACGAGGATCGTGACCCAGTTTTACCACTTAACAAAGCTCTTTGTTTGCTTTCACACTCAGTTCCAAACGAGAGGTTTCCTGCTACTTTTCACTGAAAAATGTCATTTCCAACATAATTTATCGTAGCAAGGCTCTAGAACAGTTAACGATTGTCATGCTGATTAAACCTCGATGGCTAAATATCAAGTGCGAGACGACAGCAGAATGCTGGATATAACGTACACCGTACGTTAAAGCCAGCAGAGTTTCTCAGTCAACGTTTTGGATGCACAGTGCCGTTTAACGAAAATAAGCTGCACCGCCGTAATCCGCAGCAACCGGCCGCCCAGAGCGGCCGTCGGCGGATCCAGACTCGTCCCGAGACCACCTGCCGCTCCATCCCCGCCCTATTACGACAGGACCACCACCTCCTGACCCGGACTGAGTTAGACTGGCCGTCCCATGCCCACCCTATTACTACAGGACCACCACCTCGTGACCTGGACTGCAGTAGACTGGCCATCCCATGCCCGCTGTATTACGACAGGACCACCACCTCGTGACCTGGACTGAGCTAGACTGGCCGTCCCATGCCCGCTGTACTACAACAGAACCACCACCTCGTGACCTGGGCTGAGCTAGACTAGCCATCCCATGCCCGCCGTATTACTACAGGACTCCCACCTCGTGACCTGGACTGAGCTAGACTGGCTGTCCCATGTCCGCCGTACTACGACAGGACCACCAGCTCGTGACCTGTGCTGAGCTAGACTGGTCGTCGTTCAGTCGCATGTCTGTGTGTGCCCCTCTCTCCTGCGATCCGCGGGCGCTGTGCGAGCTGGGAGTGAACGGCCGAGTGGCGGTGCCGCCGCCGCCGCCGCCGCCGCCGCCGCCCGAGGGACCGGAGTCGGACCACCGGGCGCCACTCACTCATGAGCAGGACGGAGAGCGCTGTGACCGAGTCGACGATGGACGGGTCGGTGGCCACGGCGGCCGTCTGCGCCGGCGTCACTTCGAAGGGAGGCATGGCTGCCATAGCTCACTCTGAAACTGACGAGTGGTGGGTCAGTGACCGGGCGGCGACGTCACTCGGCCGCTTCCGGGTCGGCCGCGCGCGCTGACCGCATACCGGAAGCGTTATGAGACGCTAGGTGTATGTTGACCGTCCATCGCGGCGCGCGCCGGCTAACACAATTCTGGGGAGAAATTTAGCGCGGCACACAAATATAAGCGCCGCCAGCTCATCACGCACTGAAGCAAACTGAATGCTCAGATCGTCGTCTGAAACTAAAACGCTCCTCATGGAACAGCTCAAGGTATGGTTAAAATGCCATGGTATGCTTTGGCACAGAGACGAACAAACACGGGCCGCACAGTATGCGGCCTCAGCGCCCAGGTGCGCGACAGAGACCCAGGGGCCAGTGGGAGTCAAGATGTGACGGCGACCCGGCCAGAGCGGCGTCACCGCCAGCCGGCGACCGCTGCTAGCTGCTCACCTGTCGCTGCGGCTGCGCTGCCGACCACACTGCCGCCGCCGCCGATCGGCGACGCCTCCTCGACGGGGTACCGTAAGGCGGCCGCGCCGGCAGCGACGGATAACTGGACGGTCACGTCACGTGACCCGCGCCGGACCAGGCCGGCGGCGTCACGTGACCGCCGCCAGCGGCCGCCGGCCTGATGGCGGAAGAGTTCTGGGTAGGCGCGCGCGTGGCGAGCGTCGACGCGGCCGCGGCCGGCCCGAGCCCGTGACGGCCGAGCCGGGGCGGCCGGACGCTGACCCGGCCGGCAGCTGACGGCGGCAGAGCGGCAGCTGCTGCTCGCACCGCCGCCGGCTGGGCACCAGGCCGCGGTGCAGATGGCGCGCCTCCCTCCCTGCCTTCGCCACCAGATCCAACACTTGATAACACTGAGGCGATGTTTTCCCTGTGATGGTGCGTTGTATGTGAATGGACGCGGTAGCACATCATCTATACGACCTATCGATCTACCGACAGAAGCGATTAGACTAGGTCTTAAGCTGAAGCAGTTGTTTCGGTTTCAACGTATTTTACAATGATTGCTGACAGCGTTTCTTTCCTTGCTTCTGTTTCTTTACCTACGGGTCTCACACTGTGATTGAAGAGAATGACGTCTGGCAAAGCTCCGGATGATACACTGAGGAGTCACTGGTTTTCATGGCGACCTTGCCACACATTCATAAAAAGGCAAATCGCACATGCGTGACAAAACATAAATAATTGTCCCGTTCCTGGCCGAAGTGATAGCAAAGCCACCTTCGCATCTCGTGGCTAATGTATATCACTGTTAAGCTTATATCTGGTTACCAAATGCCGGACAGTTAGCTTCCACTACCTCTTCGGAATAGCACTGTACGTGCTCAAGACACTGATTTCCGTGTTACGCTGTCAGAGGAAGGGCTCCGACTGTGAGCAAGCGCCGTTGTGCGTGAACGCATATCGATATATTCAGTTCCCGCAGCGGAGGACACGGGCGATACCGGGAGTTATCCGCTAAGGTCATTTCGTGCTGTATGCAGACGCGGGACCATAAAGGCCGTTGGGACGCACCTGCGGATTTCATCTCAGTGTCTATTCTAAACGTCTTTGAGCCACAGCTCAAACACCATTATACACACTATTCTGAGCACCATTCTGATTTGTAACCCTAGGCCACGAGGGGGCGTGATGTTGTAAATCAGAGTTTGGCAATCTTACAAAAGTAGGCTGTACTCGAGCAAGAGACATTCTGAGCCACCACATATTTCTCTGCCGAGAACGCGCACCAATGTTTTATCTTGGTCTCAGCACGATGGTTAATTCACGGGTACCTTTTATGAAGTCAATAATCGATAACACTGAAAGGTCGATAGCCGACATAACAACTGGCGAAGGGGCTAAACGACTCTGTAGTATATAATATAGTATACATAATAGAGTATATGCCTCGGTGCCTGAGCCCTTGATTTTCCTACATATATATATATATATTTATATATATATATATATATATATATTGATAAATAATAAATAATATTAAATAATATATATCTACACACACACACACATATATATATATATATATATATATATATATATATATATATATATGTATATATGTAGCTTTTATATATATATATATATATATATATATATATATATATATGTTGCTCAGTGACCTTACAAGGTACATATATATATATATATATATATATATATATATATATATATATATATATATATATATATACACTGCAATATTTTGGCAAAATCATTTCTTTTATACATGTTCGATTAACACGCGCCCGGGTGGCCGGCTAGATACCCTTCGCTCGGGTGGGGGGCAGGGGGTCAATTTGACCCCCCTAAGATCTCGGGAACTAAGAAAGCTGAAGACGCCAAATTTGCAGGGTGTACCTGTACGTGAACCCACTAAGGTCAAAGTTTGAAGTCACTAGGTCATGACCTTCGGGTCAAATAAGGCCAAACAAGGTCAAATTTCAGGTTGGTATCCAAAGTGCCCCCAGAACCTAAATAACTGTTTCTAAGCAAAAGTCCACGAGCTCATTTAAGGTCAGTGACTTTGTTTGACCTTTTGAAGGTCATGGTGACCAAAATTATACAAGACTGCCCTGAGTTTTTCATTTGAATAAGAGACCAAGATTACGCTTGACAATATGTTTTTTTTTTAAATATCGCCCTGGGTCATCTTAGGTCAATGACCTGTTATGACCTCTAATAATTCAATTGAAGATGCACGATGCGGTTCCTGCTATCAATAAATTCAAAATGAGCACCGGAAAATACCCCATACAGCAAGCCCTAGAGCAATAAAACAGGTTGGTTTTGACCTTGGTCTGACCTTCATACCTGACCTTAAGTGAACTTGATTTGCTCATTCAATGCTTGTGTTGCCTAATAAAGCATCTCAAATATGTATATCTTCGTCAGATACTCCGTTGTTGCATCAGATTGAACGATTCCATAGAAACTGACTTCGTTGAAACCATGGCCTGACTTTGACCTGTCATGGCTCAGTGACCTTACAAGGTACATCTAACTTTCTTACACCAAACGATCCGCTGTTCAATTGTGAACAGGTATGAAAAAATTGCGCGGCTATACTGAGCCATTCTGAATCCATTCTGGAAAAACCTTCGGGGGGGGGGGGTCAATTTGACCCCCACCCCCACCCGAGCGCGTGTTGAAAATAACTGCTGACGCAGCATTGACAAGCTTTTTGACGCATCGGTCTAGTTTCCAGGCCTTTGACTTGGCATCATCGCTTAGAATAAAGATGGTTCGCACACAATTACTCATATGAGTAATTACTACTACAATACAATTACAATTATTCATATGAGTAATTTTGTGCGAACCATCTTTAACCTAAGCAATGATGCCAAATCAAAGGCCTGGGAGCTAGAACGATGCGTCAAAAAGCTCAGCAATGCTGAGTCGGCTTTATTTTTAGTCAAACGTATGCATACATACATATTAATGTGCCAATGAAGGTGTACACTGACAGGCGGCCGGGCCGTGGGACTGCCCTGGATGCCGGCTGAGGCAGCGGTCCGGCGGAGCAGAGACCAGGCTGCATTCACGCCCAGGGAAACATAGCGCGAGTCAGAGAGATCTCCCCACGTGTTTCCGGTCTCAAGGCAGGAGATGTAAACACAGGATGCTCAGCCAGTCCGATAGGCAGACTGGCATTGACATCCCACCCTGCGTCTCGGCCATGGGCTGTTTCCGGCTTTGGCTCCGAGCAGCACAGCACAGCTCTGAGTCGGCTCCGAGCGGCACAGCACAGCTCTAAGTCGGCTCCGAGCAGCACAGCAGAACTCTAAGTCGGCTCCGAGCATCACAGCACAGCTCTAAATCGACTCCGAGCAGCACAGCACAACTGTAGGTCGGCTGCGAGCAGCACAGCACAGCTCTAAGTCGGCTCAGATCCACACTCGACAATGCCCTAATGGCTCTGATCGGCAACATATTCCGATGGAGTCGATTCGGGTCACCGCAGCGTTGGAGAGCAACTCTTAAGGGCTTCAGAAAAGTACACACGAGACAGATATTTTGATTTGGTTGATTTCTAAGTCGGCTCCAGTTTCGACCCTGCCTAGGGTGTCATGCGAGCTTGCCGGAATGTTTGCCGGTAGGGAAAAAGAGCGTATTATCCCGATGGACGTTTTACCCCGTGGTACCGTTAGTGCGAGAGATCTGGGTAGCACCCAAGAGCAGATTTTACCAGCCACCTGTTTCTCCAGTACATTACGTCATGTTACTGCATTACTGCTCTTCCAGGACTACACGCTCGCCAATATCGTTGTATTAGCTTATATCACATCAGTTGCAAAATTTCTGGAACCCGGCTCTCGTTGCTCATGCATGTCCTGCCCGGCACAATCGTAATGTATGCTGTGCTTCCACCGCAAGGTCTCAATCGTGCGATCCTGACAACTATTTTAACTTCCAACTAATATCCATCATTCCTGCCTCCGCCAAGGTGGTGGAGAACCTGATGCAGCATCAGCTTTACCACTACTTCAAATACAACATTTCCTCTCTTTATCTTAACACGGTTTCAGTCCCGCTACTCCACTGAGACAGCTATGCGAGACATCTCGGGCAGTGAACTCTCTGCGACTGACGAGGGAAAAATTTATTCGCCCCAACTCGTTGGCTTGAGGAAATGTTTTAACGTCATCGAGCACTTCAAATTACTAACGGCATTGCAAGTTCAGTGCATTACACAAATTTGGTTTGACTGGTTTGAAAAAACGTCTCTCTGGCTACACATAAAGGGTTTGCCTGTCTGATTCTTAGACCTCTTCTCCGCGACCAATCAGCCAGGGAGTCTTCCAGGGCTTCTCCTGAGACCTCTGCTCTTTACAGTCTTCGCCAACGACCTCAGCCTGCTTGCCGCCGCACTTTTGGTGTTTACTATGGCAACGATATGGAGGTCCTCATCTCTGGCCAACAATCCACTTTCCCAGAGCTGATTGACGACACATGGAGTCGAGCCCAGCGTTGCTGACACTCATTTTCGATCTATCGGCCTGATTGCGAACGATACTTGAGTTTAACTTCTCCCTCTCAGCACGAGATAAAACGTGCGCAGCCTACCTTCGTTCACAGTCAAACTCTGCGACAACAATCCGACCAGGTGCATTGAAGCCAAAACTTTTCGGCGTCACGTCTGACCGTTGCCTCTGCTGGGACCCGCACGCTCCTCAGCTGTCTTTGAGGTGCGCTAGGGTCCCGTCTGCCGTCTCCCATCCCCGCCATGATCTGCCCTTGGAGCCTCACCCACCATCATAACGGTCCTGGTTTTCTCGCACGTCCGCTATCGTTCCTCAATGAACGGTACGGTTTTTCGGCATACCACGGCTCAGTGAATCCCATGCTGGCCAGTCAAGAGATTATCAGCTTTGACTCCCGATGCATTTCAGGAAAACGAGCATCTGATCACATGTGCGGCGTGCGCGGAAGCTTGGGTGGGCTGGACTCTCATAGTATGATCATCTACCAAACCATTAACACGCACCCGGGTGGCCGGTTGGATACTCTTCGCTCGGGTGGGGGAGGTCAATTTGACCACTGAT